CAAGTTTCCTGCCTGTAAATGTCATACCAGTGTCTGTGCATAGATGTGAGGATTCAGGTTTTTTCATAAACAGTGTCGTAGGAAATGATTACAGAATGTTTAATTTATACATTAATTGTGTGCTTGTTTCCACAGTTACACGTGACCTTATGAGTTGACTTAATTCATCTCTTTGAACATTCTTCACAGAAAGCWTACACAGAATTCCTCGCGTAAACATAGTACAAAACATCTGTATAGAAATATTTTTTGTGATCATATTCTTCGCTATGTTTTTATCAGTATAGTCTGAGGAAAAAAAAGGTGCGTACATTACACCATAATCTGTTTCTGTGGATACAGTTAAGTTTTAAACAAWTTTAGACATCAAAATTCACAACTTGTATTTAACTAAATGTACAAATATTAAGCACATTAAAATATTAAAGCATCTAAAATGATTTGATGGTAGCAGTAAAAGAGAAGTTATTTTTTAAATTATACACGAGTGATTAAACTTGAAATTCAGACATTTTAACCACTTGTCCCCATATATACACGTGTTTTTATTTTGTTTTATTTTATTTTATTTCATTTTATTTATTTTTAGAAGCTTTTCTGACTATTTACATTTATACCCACTTTTTTATGGTTATTTAATTAAAATTGATGTCTCGGATCAGCTACAAAAACAGACTTTATATAATTTCAGAATAAATCCTAAATATTTAAGTAGCATTTTAATAGCTTTTTGCCATTCAGTGATATTAAAGTGAATGATCCCTTTTTCACAAAAGAATCAGATAATTCAGATTACTGATGAGCTTCTTCCAAATATTCACATTTTGCTTCTTATTTGAGACGTTTTCTCAAWTCCAACCAAAAAATGCAATGTTCCAAGTTTTTGAACATTAAAACTGCAGTTTAAAAGCTTTGAACGGCAAACTTTTTAGTTCTTCAAAAATAAAGAAGTCCTGTTGCCTTTGTTTAAACAAAGATTACCCTGAATGTTGCAGTATTTTATCCAGACATTTATGATAGTTGCTTTAAAAAAATCTATTAAAAATAATAATTGTAAATTTGACTTGTCCTCCTCTAGGATCAGAAGTATTATTGCGTTTGCAAAGCAAAGACCTTTTCACAGGGACCTGTTTGCTGAACTGGCAGGTGACAATTCTAGAAGAGCATGATTTTACAATCATTGTCCACCCTTGATTGGAATATCATTAACAGGATCAGTGGACTTTAAAGATGTGGAGACACGTAGTAATTTGCTGCCATGGGTGGACACACTATGACGTGTGGACAGTAGCCCTGGAAAAGACTGTGACTGAGGAAGGCTTATCGTTTGTAAATGAGGGGTTAAATGGCACCCTGCCATCCAAAGATGGGAATTACTGCCACACGGAGCTCTAAATTGAGTTTAAATTGTCTTAACTTGATATGTGAGATGAATGACTGCCTGTAGCTGTACCGATTACCATTTCACATTGTGGCAGAATGTTTCGCACCACCCTTATTCAAAAATATCCCCAGTGCATTTGAATACGAGTATGAGCTTGTTTTTATTTATAAACTTAATTACAGTCTGTCAGCTGTATTTAAATGCTTTTCAGCTAAAAAGAAAAAAAAACTGTCCGTGCAGAATAAAACCAAGCGCTTTCATAATTATGTTTACAGGCTGTGATGAAAATCCTCGGATTGTAAAAGATAAGTAATCATAAATACTTTTCAATATGTCTGATGCCTTAGCTGGTGCTATTGGTGGTGTGAAGTGTTCAGTTTGTGCAGCTTAATTATGACATTGTATGTGGTTAGATGCACCAGTCTGCTTTAGCTTTGCAAAACACTTCCAGTGTGTATAATCATGCTCAAGTCTGACTTTAAAGAGCTCATTACAGTGAGTTTTCTAAAGAGCAGCTTATTAAACACAGTTACCTAATAAGCATATTTGGTTGTGCAAATTGGTGAAAATGGTAATGAGTCTGATTAGGCTGCGTTTCAATTACGACAGCTTTTACTTCACCCCCCCCATCCACTCCTATTCCTCACTCTCCCCTCCCCCCAAAGGAAAAAAAAAAACAAGGAGAGGTCTAGCTCTTTATGCTTGGGAACCTCCTGGAAGGCATTTTTGCTTCCATTCTGCCTCTCCCTTCCTCACCCTCTCGCCCGTACACACATACCACTACACAGAAAAAGGAAAAGAAAACCACTCTGCCACCTCTGTGCTTCCTTTCAGCAGCACTGTAATGAATAGAGAATTGTCAAGCGGTGGTCCAATTTACGCACTAGGAAATTGGATGGACAGAGTGGAGGCCCACTCTTGTTTGCTTAAAAACGGCCCAGGCTACCAAATTATTAGTTACCAAAAAGGTCAACGTCCCTGTTTTGTTGATGATGATCACTCAAGTAGGAATTAAACACCCCAATGCAGAATTACTTCACTGAGTCGTCACATGCCACTTGCCTTTTAAATTCATTTGCTTTTCTTTTCATTATGAGTGAAATTTTCTTTGTAGGCATAACAATAATTATGAAAATGCAACTATTAGTGATAACTAATATGTCTTTGATAAATATGTGATTCACAGTCAATTCTCACGTCTTGCGAGCAGCTCCTCAGCATTGGCATCTCCAAATTTACCCCAGATGGGTTATTTAGACCAATGAATTGACAAACACAAAACGGACCAACAAAGAGCTTATTTGTTAGTGGCTGATCAGCGGAATTTGAGCTTGTGTCCCGAGGCGATCGGAGAACGTTCCACTTGTTGACTGCTCTGTAATTATACTATTTCCAAGACGACAAAGGGACCTGTGGATGCTGTTTTTAAATGTTTATAAAGGGCAKCATTTACAGAATTATTGTCATTCTAAACCCTTAAAGTGTGTGCACACAAACCTTTGTGTCTAAATATTACTTTCATATACACAATARCATATGTAATATACCATCCATATAATTAAAAGCTTGCTTCACATTTAACATAGCAGAAATTGTTGGACAAAATTTCACTTTTTACAGTTACACAAAATATTTTATGCAATGATAAATCTCTTATTTGTAAAAAAAATTACATTCAAATTGGACAGATTCTTCCATTTGTTTAGATTCAGTAGCTTTCCTTGAAATGCTAAAATGTTTTTTTATTTTTTATTTTTATTTTTTACAAAAGTACTTTATTTCAACTGTCTTGTATAATTTCCTTCTCAAAAACAACACCTGATGCTCAGTGAGCTCAAGTACACTTTGCAAGTAGCTCCTCTTTGATTGTCCAAAGTGGCAAATTGTTCAGAGAGGATTTGCAGTAATAGAAGAACCTCACTCAGTGTGAGCTGTGTGCAATTTTGTTATTGACAAAATGGGCCTCGAGTGTTAAGGAACTCAACTGAATGATTTTTTTTTTTTTTTTACAAAATCCATTATTCTGCTGCTCTCAACTGTGGTGTCAGTGCCATTTAGGATTGCTGGCTGACAATGCAGTCTTTATTACTATTTCCCCCAAAACAGTTTAAAAACATAAGAG